CGTAACGTCAAGTTAGATATGTCATGTCACGTTACAGAAGCAACTCGCTCTAATGTCCAATTAGAATACGTAATTCTACAAAATGCTGTCCTTTTCTCCATTTTTTTTCGTCAAGAAAAGCCTGGGCATCCTCTCGCACCAACTTATCTACATTTTTCACTCATATTTCAAACTACCCCCATCTTTCCATATGATGTTCCAATTTCAGTAGCAATGTCAAGAACAGTACGGCAGTCAACAACGTCCATTAACGCCTTTAATTTGTCTAGGGGGGATATGCACTTAAAACAGAGCCTCCAAAAAGCGACAACACCTTTAATCAACGTCCATAGAAGTTCTATTTTCTTAAATTTCTTATGCCACTGGAAAACCAGTAACTAAATACATTTTCCCCAAGCCTTTGTCAATAATATATGCATTTAAGATAGAGTGATCCCGGAATTTTCACAAAACGTATGACTTGACCGAACTTTGACGTTGTCTAACAACTTAAAGACGAACAATAAATCATTAACTAATAAACTAAAATTCCAGTAAAATCAGTAAAACTATTATACAAAGGTTTATATTAGATCAGGCAATCGTAATAATGACATAATTTTCGTTTTATATACCACATAGGGCGGTTTAATTCTCAGTTCATATCTTAAGAATTAAAATAAAAATAAACGCGCTAATGTCTCCCCCGCGTTTCCAAACAACCGTTTCTATGGCAACTGCCACAGAGTAACTATCAAAGATATTTAAACTGATTTTTACTTTAAAATATTCATCAAGTGTCTATAATATCGTTTGTAATTTTCAACCAATTCCACTTAAAAATAAATAAAATATGAAAAAATTCCACGAACTTTTGGATCAACCCTCGTACCCCCACTTTTGATGTTCTTTTCTAAATATTCAAGATAAATTTGACCTATTTGCTTAAAATCAGAAAACGTTTAAGACTTTAAGGTAAGTCACTCGTCAAATTTGTAATATCAAGGATTTTTTGGGAAGTATATTTTGGATAAGTACTCATATAGTATGACTCAAAATCGCAGAGAAAATAGGGGGTCAGTGTGCATCTTACTGATCTATGGTACAATTAAGTTGACCTTTTTGCACTTAAATTTTAACTCTTTGATTTATTACTTTATCTCTAATTTTATTTTATCAGATGTTACTACGTTAATAAATTTAATCTTATTTTACATAAAATAGTTTGAATGATATTTATCATTGAACAAATCTCGCAAATTAATGCGCGTTTATTATTGTTTGACCTTTTTGCACTAAAAATTAACATATTTGGGGTATTAAAAAACTAAATAGGCAATAAAATATTGTCTTATATCAAGCTTTTTAGGAGTTAAGTGCTAAACAGTCACAAGTATCGAGTAGTTCAAAATAATGAAAGAAAAAGTTGGGGTCAGTGATGTCAATTTTGAAATATTGGTCAAAATATGTGATTTTCAGGCAAAAAATGGTGTAAATTTTATCTTTACTTCTTTAATATATCTTCATTTCTTGGTAAAGTTTGTTGAAGGAAGGTGTAAAACTTGTTCAAAAAATATAAATTAAGACCTATATTAAATATTCCTGCAAAATCATGACGGGAAATATTCTCCGAGTAAAAGTATGTGAGGCTAAAGTTTCAAGACATTAGATTTAATAAATGTGCAGATTTGCAGAAATTTCTGATGAATATCCTTCCACCACAAGAAATAGTCCCTCATTAATCTTGCTTCTTTGTAGATTTTTAGGCAGTTTTTTCGATGAATGTTAAAAACTATACATTGTTGAATATAAATATTTTATAAAAATTGAATTTTTATAAATATTTTTTAAGTAAGAGGTTCTGCGTGAACTTTTCTAAAAAGCTGACGAGTGACTTACCTTAAAATAATTTTCTTGCTTATTAAATTTTCAATGCCAGAAAAATCACTTTTTATTAGTGCAGAAAGGTCAAATAATTGATTATGCGAAGCAATTTGAAACTTTTTCGTAGGCACAATTTTAAGTGCCTTTTTTAAAACAAACTTAGAGTTCATTTTGTTTCATGCTTTAATTGGATAAAAATATTGGAGGGAAAACGTCAAATATTTAATTTTTGATTAAGACACAAATGTCAGTGCAAGAAGGTCATAATTAATGTACTGTAGCACCAAAAGAAGCGTATTGACCCCCATTTGATCTGAATTTTAATTAAGCTATGTATGTAGAAACTAAAAATATACTTGGCAAAAAAAGTTTAAGACTTTAAATATCAGGATCGAACGTCGTTAACCAATACAAAATAGGAGCAGAGCAAACACGGACCTCTAAAATATCGGAGGTGGGATCAGGTGCCATGGAGGAGTGAGCATCCCCTGCAGACCGGTCACACTCGCCGTGTGCTCCTTGACATGATCGGGAAATAACGGAAAAATCCGTCGTCAATTCAGTATATAAATAATAGACGAACAATTAGTATGAAAAACGTCAGTCAGCATTTGACTCAATGATAAATTGTATTTGCTGACAAGGTCAGTGTATCGACCATAGAACTTACGAAATTATGACTGTAAACGAGACTGCTGAAATTCTTGTTTCATCAACATGTTTGTCAATAATTTATCTCATTTTAGAAATTGTTCACACGTAGAGCATGCTTTTGGATATATCGAATCAACTGAGGTATATGAACTTCGTATATGCAGGTGAGGAAGGTATATTGCTGCATAAGTAAGGTAAGTTGACGATAGAAAAGTTAAAATTAATGTCTTTTTCAAGTATGTGTCAGACTCTGTGGTATCTTTTATCTCGAGCTCACCAGGATATATCTTATCGACATAAGAATGGAAATTCCCAATGTTAACTGACAATACGTTGTCAATATATCTAAATCAAAAATGATCGATATAACGACCATGTTCACATTCAAGAGGTTGTTGCAATTTCTACTCCTGTAACATTTACTAATTTGTCAATAGCTTGCTATATTGCTATCATATATAATATGGGGAAGCTGGAAATAGAAAAATATGTATTAATAATCCTGGTACAATATCCAAGCTGTAATAGATGTTTCATGAAAGAGAGCATGCCACTGTTTGTTTATTTATTCCTTATACGTGTTAACAGTTTAAAATGTAAAGCTGTAATTTTAGCACAAAATAATTTTGATAGAAGATACAACCTGGTATTTTTCTTTCTGATCACATTATTTGTATAGTTCAAAATAAATTGCTATCTTGTTCATATCAAGAGAATTTCGGCAACTATTGCAATATTTAATACCTGAAAAACAACCCCCTGAAACATTTGTATTCAATTTAAAAAAAAAAAAAACAAAAAACAAAAAAACAAAAAAAAAACTTGATCATAAAATTAATAATTTTTTTTTTTTGGTAACAAGTGTATACAGTATTCGAACAGATTTTTTTTATTTGAATAAAAAATGACAATTAGCATTTTGAATACATGAGTTTATGAATATTATCATAATAAACAATAATTAATATTGTAATAACATTTTACCTGCAACCGTATTGACTTGGAAAACTAAGAAAAACGATAGATGTCTGGTGTGTATACATCTGGTATATAACGTACCTGTACTTAATATATCTGGTAGGTACACACCGGTATATATACCGTAAATCTGGTACATCCCGGTATATAACGTACTTGTATTTGCACCTTGAAGGGCGTAGGAAATGTCCTTGTTCAATGGAAGATAACCCCGGCTGAATATTGTTACTTTCTGAAGAGGAATCTAATTAAACGTATTTCTCTTTGTGAATTGTTAAGACTGGAAAAAAGAGGGCTATGATTTTAAGATTAAATAAATTCAAAATTTCAAGTTAAAGTAAAATGAAAGGAAAGAAATAGAGTATTAGTCAACTGAGCTGAGGCTATAATCAATTAATATTAACTTAAGTAAACTCATACGTCACTGGGGAAAAACGTAAAACATGATCATGACGTTGTCATACATGTATTTATTAATTTTGAATTTATTAAGACTCACAAACCAGGGGCAAAGGACGCCCTAACAAAAATTTACTACTATCATACTCATTAACTATAGTTTACTATTACACTATAGTTAACTATAGTAAAAACTTAGATACTTTAGGAATTCTAAAAATTAAAATATATCCATCTGAAATTCATAGTAAAAATACTTTTACTATAATAGTTACTATAGTTAACTATATATTTAATAGTAAAGTTAACTAAAGTTAACTATAGTACCTTTATGTTAGGGCGCACACATGTCCTCGCCTCCCCTTTTGTCGGTAGATTACAATTGATATACATTGCAATCATTAGTATCTGCTGAACAACTGAATATTGACTGAGACTTCGTATGAACAAAAACAATTTTTACGTTGTCAAGTAAACTCCTTGATCATGCAGATAAATCTAGATCTGGAATTTGAAGAATGATTTTTTTAAATATGCATCTAGTTATTAAAGCAAAAACTGACCACAGGATATTTTTTTCAAACAACAACACGATTATATTGATACCTTATACAACGATATAAGTGCCATAAAGTGGGTCTTCGCTCCACATTCGAGTACGTTTACATGTAATACTTTGATATTAAATTACAACATTTTATAGTAGAAAATGATTGGCCGCATAAAAGTTTTAAAAATTTCATTAACTAAGCAGAAGTTAATTAACAAACATTGCATTGAAGTCTATGGGGATAGAATTTTTTTCAAATAAAAATTCAAATGATATGAATATCAATAAATACTGTGGTGGAAATATTCATTGAAATATTAGAAAATAGCTTGAAATGTCTCAGTTTTTCTCTATCCATAAACTTCAATCCAGGTGAGCTTCGAACTTTTATCATTGTTAAATTTTTGCGTGAAAATCACGTAGGAAAGAAAATCTTTGTGGTGAGACTAATCTTGTCTTAAATGGGTTGTCTTTACAAGAGTTATAGATCAATAATATTTTCCACTCTCTGTATTTCTATTTCAATCGGGATCGACATTCGGATCTCGAGTTGAAGAACATGGCAGCTAGAAATGTCACACGCTTCGTTTTACCTCGATTTGCGTCTTTCTTTCAGCGATTTAATGCCACAACTGTCCCACTGATATTGCGACGGAGAGCTCTATATAAATCTGAACACTTTGGAATGTTTTCTACCTCTCCCAAACCATTTGCAAACGAAACGTAAGTATATCTCATCCTTGGATGATTACATAAGAAATGTTTCTGACCGCTGAATTATTCAGTTAGCAGATAAAAATTATTAAATAATAATAATGTTTTTTAAAAACCTTTTTGATTATTATCTATTTTTGTCTCTTGAAAACTTGGGACACAAACGCTGCCAAATATTTAGGAACAGAGTTATTTATTTCGAATTTTCTCTAAAACTGTATATTTTCAATTTAAAAGTTTTTATTGCACATTGAACAGAAAAAAATGTGTTACTTCAGTCTCAGTCATTCATTTACCGTCAACTTTTATTCTTATCTGAATTTATTTGAGATCTTCAAGCAGACACTGCCTCAGTAACTTACAATGAATTATCTAAGTCACAGGACAGACTCTTATCACATTAGGCATTGTTAAGAAAGAACATTCAACAGTGTTCATTCAAAACATGTGTTGTTCATTGTATATCTCTAGATTAAAACTCTCTGCCCTACCATGTAGAATAAATTCAAAAAATTTCTCATGAAATAGAGTATGTAAGCATACAATTGTAATAAAACTGACGGGTATAAAACTGACATCCTCTGATAGCCTTCGTTAGTTTTAATTAGGCCTAGTTTGAAGGACAACTACACTTTACCTAGCAGTACTGATAAAGTGCTGACTAGCCATTCAATATCCTTTTATTATCTGAGGCATTTGGAAGGTGATGACATTCCCATGTAAGTTTTCGGTTACTTACAAGTACAATTAATTTTATAGTCAGGCAAAAATGTTACATTTCTCTTGCTCCAAATTCCAATATAAGTTGGACAAAAAAAAGTGTTTATGATTATATATTCACAATGAAAATTTAATTAACTTTTCAGTTTGCAGCTGATGCTGAGTGTATCCAAATTATCACTGAACATGCTGAAAGTTTAAGAATATAATGACATCTATAATTTCTTGTAATTTAGTAGTGTGACAATAACCTTCCTTGATCGGGATGGGGATAAAATTGTAGCCAAAACTAAACCCGGTACATCCTTTCTGGATGTGGCAATTGACTTTGATGTGGAACTGGAAGGTATATCCATGTTTGTTATTGGGGAATGTCAGCTGAAATCATTTGGTTTGGTGATAATTTGATAAAGTTACAGTTTATTCCCCCTCCTTGCTTTACCTGAGAAATTGAAAAAAAATGTATTTGAAATAAGTACATTGTACAATTTTTATGGGGGAAACAATAAGAAAACAATGTTTTGCTTTTTGTTTTACTACAAAGCATGGGTCTCCTTGTGGGGATTGTTGTAATACCAAAAATGTATCTTAATTATTTTAATAGCCAGTTTGTGATTGAACAAAACAAACTTAGATGTCATGAACTTGCAGGATAGCTGATTTACTTAAAGATATCCTAGGGTTTGAAAAAGGAAAGGCCAGACTCAAATAATATTTAAGCATTTGTAATATGATATTCTACAATTCATAAATGTTATCCAATGAGTATATTTGTGAGCATTACTACATGACATCACATGTGTTTTTATTTATCTGTAAAATATAAATAAGCAAAACAATGACAGTTGTCACAATGGTCAGTGTTTGTTTTGTACTTATGATGCACACAACATAAACAGAAAGAAGGAAAAAATTGCCTTTATTATTTAAAAAATGTAACAACTGTTGGATTTACTTTTAAAATTACTGTAAATGTATTATATTTAGCGTGTACGATATTTGGCAGAAATTGAGTTTTGAACAAGTTAGTGTAGGTTTGATTTAGCGCATTTCTTATCGTTCTTATTTACGTATATAAGTACAAAACATTTAGCATTGTACTTGAATTAGCGGAAGTGTCTTTCTGCCAAAAGTGCTAAAAAGAATACACATCCAAATGTAATACGTTTACAGTATATGTTATTTTCAAAATTACTGGGTACCAGAACCAATTATTAATCATACATGCAAACTGCAAAAGATCATTATTTTGAAAAAAACCAAAGTTGTTTTTTAATCTGAGGTCTTGATCTGTTGTTATTTTATTGTATTGAATATAGCAGAATCTTAAAATTAACTGTTCTGAAAGCTTTTAATTAATCTGCCAATTTTATTACAGTGTCACAGTCCACTTTATTATGCCTGATGGCAGCAAGGTGTCGGCAAATTCCAAAGTGGGCGAGAATCTTCTGGACATCATTGTAGACAATGATATAGATATCGATGGATTCGGTTAGTTTATAACCCTGTCTAAATTTGAGATCTTACATGTATTTACAAAGTGTAATATCTTTGTGAAAAAAGGAAAAAGCACATTTACTCATTCCTACTATGGTACCTGGTAATATTTTATCATTAAGTAGGTTGTGTTTGCTTTGTTTAATTATAAAGATACTAGTACATTGTAATGACATGTTGCAATAATTTTTTTTATCTTTTCACATACAATCCACTTTTTCTATCAAGTGGACTGTCAGTAAGAAAATGAAAATTTTTTAACATGAAATACTTCAAGTTTTCTGTCTCTTAAAAAGATAGTGACTTCAGCTGACATTTTCCCAAACAATAATTCTTATAATATGCTGTGATTAGTTTTTAAATCTTCTGTATGATTGAAATCTCAGTAAATAACATCTGTGGTATTGATTGGTGGCAGGTGCTTGTGAAGGAACCCTAGCCTGCTCCACGTGTCATCTCATCTTCTCCAAAGAGGATTACGATCGAATCCCAGACAAACCCACAGATGAAGAATTAGACATGCTGGACCTGGCATACGGCCTTACTGATACGTTAGTATTTAATTAGGCCATCCTTAAAAAATTGTTTGTTTGGAATTGCTGCCTGAAGGGTCTCAGACACAGGAGGGAGGGAGGGAAATTATTTTTTTTTAATTGAAAACCTAATTTTACATAGATCTGACACTTTATTTCAGTGTTTTGTATGGTGCATGTGATACATGTAATGGGCAAAAAAAATTGATTAAATAAAAAAAAATCTTCCTACTTTTGGTCAATAAAATTTTTTCAGGAGGGGGCATTTCAATGAGGCGGGAGGCAATTCCAAACAAACTATAATTTTATTTTGGCCTTATTTGGAGGCCAGTAATGAAGAAAATTAATCACAAATTATTTGTAGCCTTGAACTTTCCAAAAGTTATAATTGTCGTGTTTTAAATATGCAAATGGTTTATCAATTTATTTAATAGTTAATACCAATTTTCTCTCTCAAAACTGAAACCAAATGGATACAGTAAAACTCGTTTAGTAGGAACACGGATATTGCGAATTCACGGATACTGTAAACGTACTTTTTTCCACGGGGTCATAATTCCGCGGAATCTCAATTTCTGTTTAATCGGCGGGTAGAAAATAACGCGGATTTCTAGATTGTCAGTATATGCCTTACATTTATATTAAGTACGCTTGGACAAATTTCCGCGGAAAATTTGTGACCGCGTACATAGTGTAAATTAATACCACGCGGAAAAATGTACTTCTACAGTATAGCAAATTTATCATGGATCCCCAGCTATATAAAATTAACGAATTTCTTATACGGATATAATGAATAACGGATATAGTGAAGTAATTTCATAGGTCCCAGCGACTTCGTTGTAACCGAGTTTTACTGTAATCTTAATATTTGTTTATTTAATTCATCAGAAAGAGTAATGGAACCTTGATTGGACTTGTGGTCTCGGATTATTCATAATAATAGATTAGTTCACATAAGTTATTAAATCTGGAAAAATATTTACTTTTAATGCTTGTTTTGCTAAAGGTCCATTAGGGTATGATAGTAGGTATTATGTATGTTGATAGAAATTCAACAAAGGCATTGCAAAGATTATAATATAATGAATTTTCTTTGACTTTTTACAGATCTAGATTAGGTTGTCAAGTGATTGTGACAAAAGATATGGATGGATTGGAGGTCAAGGTTCCAGCTGGTGTGGCGGACGCCAGAGATCCTTCATGACCTTAGCTGACCTGTAGGACATTAAAAAAAATCATAGAAAAGACAATACAAGTATTTAAACCAGATTCAACTTAACGTCACTTTGTATAATCTTAATACAGACTTGTATGTAAAATTCACTCTCATTGTTGAATTTGTTCATCAATCCTTAGATGACCAAATATATTAATTTTGATGCTCAAATTTTTAGTACACATTTAGTACACATTTGAAAGTGAATGAATCATGCACAATGAATGTATTTTAAAATAAAAAAACGGTGCCATGGGCTCAAGGCTACCTGACATTTTTCTCATGTTAAAAATTTGAATATTGTTATTAATCTATATTAATGCCATGTGTGATATTTTATGTTATATTAAATGTGACTAAATACATGTAAATAATTTGTATGATTAAAAATCTATTGTAATACAAATGTAAACCATATAAACATGATTAAAACAAAATTTTATTTTAATGATGTTTTCTTACTAGCTAATGTGTTTAAGGCAAGTAAATAAACAATTACCGCTGCTAACCAATTTTGGTTAATTGCACATGAATAAGAATGCAAAAAGAAATTTAGAATTGTGTAACACTTTTACACAGGTTTTGTTTTTATTCATACAATGGGTTTTATTTTTCTATGGAAGGGAATTACCGCCAAAAGTCTATGTATCTTGCTTTTATTCTTATTCTGCCTACTTCTTTATGCTTTGTTATTATTATAATTATATGTCACTTTATTGTTTTCATATTCGTCTTCATTGCATTTCACTTTGACTTTTATCCTTCTTCATTTTGCCCTTACTTCTATGTTGCTTTATTCTTGTTAATTCATTTTACTTTCTTTTAAATTGATACAGTTTCTTAAATGATTATCTCAATTACGAACGAGAATTCAATCACACAAAGAATGAAGCATATTCAATGAAGACGAATACAAGTTGTCAAAATTTAGTGCCGCATTATAACGCTAGGTGGCAGGGGTGTTCGCTACGAGTGATGGTAAAACTAGGTAAGCAAACCCGGACCGGGGTTATTAAGATTTTTCAATTTTCTGCCTTAATACTTTATCAATCGAACATCTGAAGGCCGAATCCGATCACCCGATCCAATGATGGAAACTCCATATTTATTTCCTCTGGGATAGCGGCCTCTTTTTTTAAACATAACTTTATATACCGGTACTTTACTGAATATGCTCATTGAAAGGCCGACCCACTTTTTGTAAGGGTAAGGGTCAAATAAGGTTAATGTAGTATGGTAGGGATAACATTTAAATTTGATACTATAGAAGAAGTTGAATCTAACCCAAAACCCACCCGCCCCCTTAATATGATTTCATTGGCATCGGAAGCAAAGTGAAAGTTGGGGCGGGAGGGGGTTAAGCGTAAGAAATATTTTTTAGACCTTCAAAAAAAAAAAAAAACTTGACAAGCAAAAAAAAAAGAGAGAGAGAGAGAAATGTCCACTGTCCACACACAAAAATCCTATATCGTGTGTGTGTGTTGGGGGGGGGGGGGGGGGGGGTGTTCAAATTTCAGTGCCAATTTCTTTTTTTCAAAACACCACCACTTTCCACATTTAAAACCTATGCTGCATCGAGTCCATGGAAAGTGGGGGGGGGGGGGGCTAAACCTACGCAGTAATGTTCAATGTCTATACTAAGTCTAACTTTGGGAAAAAGTGGGGGCCCCCTCTCTCTGCGGTTCCGATCGACGCCTATGTATTTTCAAGTTTGGACAATTTCCTTGGTTTTTTTGTTTTTTTTTTTTTTTTTTTTTTTTTGTTTTTGTTTTTTTTTTTTGCTTGTCAAGTTGTTTTCAGCGGATAGCTTGAATTTTCAAAACCGATGCTACGTCACAGTTCTCTCGCCTGAAAAAATATCACTCTACTAAAGTTATTCGTTGGATAATTGAATTCCCGTTAAACAGTTTAATTGACATAAAAATGTTAAATATTTTGATACTAGATGACCCTTTATAAATTTATAAATTGAGTTGTTTTTCAGGACATTCCCAGGCTTGGATCTAGGAATTGAAGTTAGAGGGGCGCCAAAAGAAGGCAAGGGGTCTGGAGGCCGCCTTGAGGCTCCCAGTAGGTCAAGGGCCAAAGCCCTGGTGGGGGCTCAGGGGGCGAACCCCCGGAAGCTCCTGGGTTCTAGATATTTTGTAGGGTAAAAATGAGGTCTACCAAGTAGGCATATTTACATTTTCTAGACGAAACTGTGATTTATGTTAACTTTGACAATTTTAGGGGGTGGGGGCGCCGGATGCACCCCCTCCTTAAATCCGTCACTGATTCCACTGAACTGAACTTTATTTCACGACAGATAGTAATTGCTCATGCGTGTGATTCTAGGGACGGGGCTTTGCAAAGGAGTGAGGAGTGTTATTGGTAGGCAAAGTTGGAACAAGGCAACACCTTGGGCATACTAGAAACTCCCCAGTCTTTTTTCATACATTAATATTTGATATTGAAATAGCACTTTTTAATAAAGAAAAGAAATATTTTTTAGTACGCACCGTATTATACATCAGCCAGGACTCAGGAGAGTTAAAATATCTTAAAACTTGAAAATTCTATATTTGGTGGTGGGGGGGGGGGGGGGGTTGTCAACTTTTTTTCAGTACCAAATATAACTCATATGTACATATGCCACTAAGTACATTTAACTACTTTAATATATGAATTGACTACATTGTATTAGCATGTGATTAGTACTGCAACAAAAAGTGTAAGGGATGGGGGCAACAAGCCTTTCGCTGAACTTTTCCAGTAGTAAAAAGTATGTTACGTTTAGGAAAATGTTTCGTGGCATCCTCCCCTCTACCGGTGAAACTTACCCCATAGGATGTCGTACAGACGGAAGTCAGTATATATATTGAGACTTGGGGGTATGATTGTATAACGTCCCTTTAAATTTGAGAATTTTTAACTCAAATGGAGAAGCCACCTCTTGCCGTTGGATAGCTGCAAATTTGTCCTATATACTCGGCACTTATAGCCATTGGGCAGTGGGGGATCTTTTATCGGGCCAGCACCTACTGCGATACGGGACCTCGGATAATACGCTCTAGATCTCATCCGAAGGACCGAACTCCACGTCCCATAGTGGGATTCGAACCCACGACGTATTGATTGACTCCTTACTACTGTGTTTCGTGACCAGAGAGCAGACGCCGTAACCACAGTGCCACGCGGGCGATTGCACCCGAGTGGAGGGGCATCCGGGGGGGGGGGGGGGGCGGAATTCATTATCCATTTGTACTCGTGAAGGTTATCTATGTTAAACTAAATGGTTAAAATGATTAAATTATTAAACTAAGTTCATTTTGATTGGCTATTTCCTTGCGTAAGACCTTAAGCTCATTAACCACTATTAAAATGGTTTCATTTAAACATTTATTCATGTAGGACGTATAACTTTTCTTAAAAAATTGAAAACGTTAACATATAAACATTGTTTTACGATTTAAAAAAATATTCGGGGGAGGGGTTGCTTTGAAGGGGGACGAATTGCTATATACAGCTAGATTTCCCACGGAAGACTAGCTATATATTGAAACTCCCCGGGGGAAGTCTCACTGAATAGTCTTCCGAAGGAAGCATCACTATGTAGTCAGTCTTCCAGGGGAAATCTTGCCATCTTCCGAGGGAATGGCATTATCGGGTACATACCTGAACTTATAACAAACATCATTTGAAAATTAAAGTTCGATTGATAAAGTATTAAGGCAGAAAATTGAAAAATCTTTAATAACCCCGGTCCGGGTTTGCTTACCTATTTTTACCAACACTCGTATAGCGAACACCCTGCCACCTAGCGTTATAATGCGGCACTAAATTCGGACAACTTACATTCGTCTTCATTGAATTTAGTGCCGCATTATAACGCTAGGCGGCATTGTTTACATGATTGAATTTACGTTCGTAATCGAGATAATAGAGATAGTTTATTTAAAAAACAGTATCAAATTAAAAGAAAGTAGAATGTATCCACAAGAATAAAGCAACATAGAAGTAAGGACAATATAAAGAACGATAAAAGCTCAAGTGTAATGTAATAAAGACGAATACGAAAACAATAAAGTGACATATAATTACAACAATAACAAAGCATAAAGAAGTAGGCAGAATAAGAATAAAAGCAAGATACATAGACTTTTGGCGGTAATTCCCTTCCATATTTTTCAACAATATTTGATATGAGAGATTATTTGGCAAAAGGCTAGTTGCTACTACCATAGACAAAAAGCAAAGAATGGTGAATCTTGGATTCTTACTGCAGTGCAGGGGAAAGAGCAGATGTGAGCATTTTAGCTCACTGAGCTGAAAGCTCAAGGCTTTCCTTATCACCCGATGTCTTGAGTTCTTTCATCCATGAAGGATATGGAGATAATGAACAGTATTCAATATCAAAGTCCATAAAACAATACAAATTAGGAGCAGAACAAACACGGACCTCCAAAACATCACAGGTGGGATCAGGTGCCATGGAAGAGTGAGCATCCCATGCTGAACGGTCACACCCGCCATGTGCCTCTTCTCATTATCAGGAAATAACTGAAGAATCTGTCAATTCGGTGTATAATAATGGGACGAACAATTAGTTTGAAAAACGTCAGTCAGCATTTGACTCAATGATAAATTGTATTTGCTGACGAGGTCATTGTATCGACCATAGATTTTACGAAATGATGACTTTAAACGAGGTTGCTGATATTCTTGTTTCATCAACTTGTTTGTCAATAGTTTACCTCGTTTTAAAAATTGTTCAAGAGTTTTTTTTTTGTGCACGTGAGTTTTTCCTGTCTTCATTATATGGCTCAGTAAAGATTAGAAGTAGCTGAAAATCTCTGTTTTCCGACTTTTTCGAGCTATTACCATGGCACTTGAGACCTATGGAAACCTTTCTTGGAATATTTTCTTTATGACATTCTTACCTTTTCCCGATATCCATTCTCACTTTGAAATTCGTTTTTGTCCTTCATTTGAACAAACAAACCTTTACCCAAGACTGACTCTTATAAATAAGTCAAAATGGATATTTTACTTGAAAAATATGTTAATGGTAATCTAACAACCAAGCTCTATGATAAAGGTGATGACTTTAACTTCTCTATCGTCAACTTCCCTTACTTATGCAGCTACATTGTATATATGTACCTTCGTCACCTGCATACGGAGTTTATACATCTTAGTTGATTCGATACGTCAGAGCATGCTCTACGTATGTACAGTTTCTAAAACGAAGTAAATTATTGACAAACAAGTTGATGAAACAAGAATATCAGCAGTTTCATTCAAAGTCATCATTTCGTAAGTTTTATGGTCGATACAATGACCTTTTCAGCAAATACAATTTATAATGAGTTAAACGCTCACTGACATTTTTCAAACTGCAATTGTAAGTCCAATTATTCACACATTCAATAGACTATGGAT